AATTGTTGATACCTGCGACTCAACGGAGCCGGGGATGAGGGGTTTGGGAGGGGCTCAGGGCTGAGGCGGAGGGTTGGGGTGAGGACTGTGGGTGGGGCTGGGGATGAGGGGTTTTGGGTGCAGGAGGGGGCTCTGGGTTTGGAGGGGGCTCAGGGCTCAGGCAGGGGGTTGGGTGCGGGAGGGGGTCAGGGCTCTGGGCTAGGGGTGCAGGCTCTTGGGTGGGGCTGGGGATGAGGAGGGTGGGGTGCAAGAAGAGGCTCTGGGTTTGTGGGGGAGGGCTCAGGGCTGGGGCAGGGGATTGGGACATGGGGTTGGAGTGCAGGCTTACCTCAGGCAGCGCCTGGTCAGCGGCACAGCAGGGGTGCTAAGGCAGGCTTCCTGCCTGTCTTGACACCACGGACCGTGCTGTGCCCCGGAAGTGGCTAGTAGGAGGTCTGGCTCCTAGGCAGAGGTGTGCAAGCGGCTCCGTGTGGCTTTCGCCTGCAGACACTGCCCCCAAGCTCCCATTGGCCGGTTCTCAGCCAATGCGAGTGCAGAGCCAGTGCTCAGGGTGGGGGCAGCGTGCAGAGCCCTGTGGTCCCACCGCCTAGGAGCCGGACCTGCTGCTGGCCGCTTCTGGGGTGCAGTGCGGTGACAGAACTGGTAGGGACAGCACTGCCAACGGGATTTTTAACGGCCCTGTCAGTGGTGCTGATCAGAGCTGCCGTGACCTAGAGCCTTACAATCCATGACCCAGTACTGGGTCATGACCTGCAGTTTGAAAACCACTGGCCTAAAGATGTTATGAGCTTTCCACTCTAACTGCCATGAACCACAGTTCTGATCTCATTCAAGATGAATCCAAGATTAATAGATTTCTGGCAACCTTTTTTTTTTTTTATTGTTAATAGAACAGCATTGACCTTGGCTGTTTTTTAGGGCTTGTTGGCTGGCTAAACAAGTTTTGTATTTGCTATCTTGAATGAATCAGTTGCAAAATGTTGGGGTTTTAATTGCGTTTATGCATTCATGTATTACTACTTTGGTGGGTAAGGTATGTGCATGATATGTATATTGTAGCAGTTTGTTTTTGTTTCTGCAGTTATAATATTCTTCCAAACTGACAAACTCAAACTGACTTTGGGCCAAAAGGAAAATAAGCATGTTAGAGGGATAAAATACAACTCACTGTTTGTGGTATTAGTCCACCCATCCAGTGATCTGTAACAGGGGAGAGATCCTGGAGAACTATTTGACCTCCAAATGTGCCTGGGAGTTGCATGTAGAGCTTGCTGCTATTAGTATTCACAGCACTGGAACTGAAGATTTGGCAAGGAGTGTTCTGCTGATTCCTGAGGTCAATGCATTTTAGAAGGCATCCACATGTTGTGACAGTTTTGTTTTTAATAATAATTACAGTTTTTAGGGACCCCCCAGCGCTACACTCATTAAGAGGAAGAGAAAAGCTCTCAGATACAACTGTTTGTTGGAGTTGGAGGAGAAAGGAATGTAATAAAAAGGGAGAGGTTATAGGGGGAAAAAAGAGAGTAAGGGGGCTGTAGGAGTTAGGAGGGTTGGCCCAAAATTTTCTAACATCATTTGGATTCAGAAATACTCTTGGGGGCATTTGTAATTAAATTGTACAGAAGAAGAAATTTCAAAATGCAAGTGTGGTTTCTGGTTGTGGTGTTTCAATGGAGGACATGTTCTGATTTATAGCAAATGGCAGATCAACTCTTTTAATAAATAAACAACTCCCCTATAATTCTACAGCTTTTCTTTTTTTCCCTGATCTGCTATTTCTTCTCTTCCATTTTTGTATATCCCTTTCTCTTTTCTATACATTTCTTTCTCTCGCTTTTTAATTTGGCTGCCCTCTTCTGTTGTTTGGTTCCACACTGTTGTGATCCTTTTAGCCCCAGCCCCATTTCTATTCTTACTATTGTAACAAACCTTTATTTCCCACCACCTCCCTTTTTGGGTCACTACAAACATTAAGGTACATCAAACTCTGACATGTTCCTGGTAGATTGTCAGTTTTTCCAGAGTTCTAGAACCTTGTGGGTTCACAATAACCACTTGCACACATGTCTGTTATATAAAGGTTCTTTAGTGCCATTGGCATAAGGAAAATAATGCAGTTACCCTAGGCATGAAGGATTACAGCTTATTGTAGTTAGTTATACATGCTGTAATTACTAGTTTAAACCCCTTGAAGCAGTCCAAGAAAAGGCGCACTGTTAATGCTGCTCTTAGAAACTCTTCAGGCCTGGGGTGCACCTTCCAGTCCATCCCTCTTTTTTGAGGGCAAAGTCTTTTTCTCCCCCCTTCAGTATCAGAGATCTGGATAGATTCCACCGCAAGTTTCCTTTCTTTCTTTTGGTACTGTTTCAGGAGTCTTTCTTATCTCCTTCAATGTAGTGGTGTCCGTGCTTGAAGTCTCCTCCTGCAGGGCAATTATCAAACCACATCCCCCTGAACCTCAATTTGTTATGTCCTCTTTTTACTGGGCTCTACTTCCTGTGTTCAAGGATAGGCAGTGTATTCAGCTTTGTCTCTTTAAGAAGTTCTTACTCTTAATTGTCTTCTATGATAGTTTCCAGTCTCTGGAACTCTTTTGTAGCAGCAGCATACTCTCATGCCACTATTTCTTTGAAGAGCATGAAGGGCTGGTCCACCTAACTGTTAATGCCTCTTAATCAGTTGTTTTCCATGTATCACTGCTACTCCCAAGGACCTTGGCCCTGGTGTGATTACTTGAGTGACAGTTCGATGATTCAGTATCACTGTAACCTTTAGATTTGTCACCTGCAGCAACTCAGCCACTTCTCAGATTCTAACCTCACCCACTCAGCTCCTTGAGATGCTAACTCTTAGTGGTTACAGACCTTCCACACAGCCTCCCACCTATGCTCTGCTCCTGGCTGGTAAGTTGTCTCTTCTGGACCCGATTCTGGCTTTTCCCAGCTGCTCTTTTTAAAATACTGCCTCTCTAGGTGCAATGCTGGCTTTTTGTCCATAACAGTTGACACGGGGTGGCTTATAAACTCACTTTTTCCTCCTCAGCTTTTCTTCACTAGCTCTACTGCCCAAAACAGCTGTTCTCTTATGGGTCCATTATCTGTCCTTTTCATCCCTTCTCATTAGTTCTGCTGTTCTTAGTTGTCCTCTTCCCTACCATACTGAGGATCTCTGTGCTGGCAAAAGCCCCAAGATTTGGAGAAGAGGGGGTAGTTCAGTTGATGCTGGCTACTGTCTGCAAGAGATTTTTTCTTTCTGGAGCTTTTAAATGTTCTAAGAGGTACCACCTGATAAAATAAATTTTGTTGGCCCAGTGAGAAGGTCTTCCAACCTCCCAAGCTAACCTTTAATGTTTAAGATAATTCTGGGCCTGGGGATAGTGATGAGTAATGCAACAGTGGGTTTGCTACACAACTCTTCAGAGGGTGTGCAAAACTGTCTAAGTTCTTCAGTGTGGCAATATAGCAGCTGTGAGTGAGTTACTTATTACAAAAAGAAAAGGAGTACTTGTGGCACCTTAGAGACTAACCAACTTATTTGAGCATGAGCTTTCGTGAGCTACAGCTCACTGCTCACGAAAGCTCATGCTCAAATAAATTGGTTAGTCGCTAAGGTGCCACAAGTACTCCTTTTTGCGAATACAGACTAACACGGCTGTTACTCTGAAACCTGTCATTACTTATTACAGTAATTGGGGTGTGAAAGAATGCCTTCGATCACAGCACATTTTCTCCTAAAGGATTCTTTGGCACTTCCTCACACTCTTACCGTGTCCCGAATTTCTCTCTGATTTAATGTTTTATATTAGAAAAAACTGTTACCAAATGCTCTGGATTACATTTTTAATGCAAAACAACATATGTGAGCTTTTGGGCAGGAGGGAGGGATCCACAGCCACTAGAATGCTGTGTAAAGTTTGAAAGCTACATTTTTTTTTTCCTCCATACAGCCTTCCAGATCTTCTCCCATGGTCAGTTGCTTGCATGTGTTGTCAGACATTTCAAATGTAGAGCCTGATTCTGCTTCCTACACAACTGTCAGTGATGTATGAGAGAAAGAGTGATCTGGAGTTTGAGCTGGGACCTCTGAGTCTGATCTCAGATCTGCCACCAATCTGGTGTGTGGTCTTGGGCAACTCACTTAACCCTTCTTTGTCATCATTTCCCCAGAAAGGATGCTAATGTCTACCTCAAAGGGGAAGTGTTCAGACTGGCTAATATTAACTGATGAAAACTTTAAAAAAGGAAATACTGGATAGATGCTAAATGTTATCAGTCAGTGGGAGTATTGCTATGTAAATGAGTGTTGGATCATTCCCTTTATTGGGAATATTGGGCAGTAAGGATCCTTGCCCTGAGGGGTACTGACCATATATCTGAGGTTCATATATGGCCGCTGTTCCCAGAGTATATGAACACCTCACAGCCTTTAATGTATTTTTCCTCATAACATCCATGTGAGGTAGGGAAGTGCTATTATTCCTATTGCAGACGGGGAACTGAGGCACAGAGAGACTAAGTGGTCCTTGCCCAATGTCACACAAGAAGTCTGTGTCAGAACAGGATATTGGACTTGGGTCTCCTAAGGCCCAGGCTAGCACCCTGATCACTGGAGTTCCTTTCTTTCTACTCCATGTGCAATTCCCATTGACTTTGTACCCTGTTCTAGTTCAGTTTGCAATTTGATTATTTGGTATAAGTATCGCACACAAGAAAACTGCTGCATAAAATGTACAGAACTTTTCCTGGGAACAATTCAAGGAGCCAATAAATATAAAGAAATTGCAATACATTCAATACAGAGGAGCTTTGGGCCCAGTCCCACATTGAGTTCCATGCAGATGCAGGGTCTGCCCATGCTGAGCAAACTGCAGGATCATGCCTTGCTGTACATAAGATGACTTGTTTCCATTATAGATCTATATCTATATCTATCCATTTATATTTTGTAGGTTCAAATAGTTACCCAAACACATAGCAAGGGGGACCCAAAACAAATGGTAAGAAACAGTAAATTCTTTTTATAAAAGATGATGTATAACTGATACCATCATGTAGTTAGTAACTTCAATTAAAAAAATCTATGTAGGCAGATATTTCCTTATAGACAAACAACACAAGTAACAAAAATGTAAACAGGATTTTTTCTGACATAAAAATATGAAAAATTTGAATCTAGTAATAAAAAAATTTTCCAAATTAACCTATTACAGTGACAATTACACCGTGCTTCTTTACTGTTTGAACTGATTGTTCTTTGTGTCGTTCCCATTCCTCATCATCTTTGTCCTGCTCAAATGTTTCTGGATAAATTGGCAGCTTGTCTTTTGGGCACTCCTCATAATAACTTCGGACATATTTTCCAACATACCACCCTTTGTATTCCTCGGGCATTTTGCATTCTAGGCCCGTGTAGTGAACATTGTAGTGATGCTCTAACCAGTAGAAAAGGTAATGAATGTTGTAATCACATCTCCAAGGGTTCTCTCTCAGCCATAATATTTTCAAAAAGTATAGGTCTTCTAATACTCCATATTCAAAATTTTGCAGTGTGTTGTTTGATAAATCAAGCTCCTCTAAGTTAAAGAGTCCTGAAAAAGCAGCTGGTCAATTAAAAAAACAAGTTATTGAAATGTAGAATTGATAGAATAAAAGAGAAAAATATGCTTGTAACAGGGAAAACATTCTCATATTAATGTGGATTAAACAGTATTCTTATATACGTTGGTCAAAAATCACTGGTTTATATTTTTTATTAAAAGGCTACAATAAAGACTTCTTGTAAATTGAAACATAAAAGTGTGGATCCACTCTGAGAAGTGGCATGTAAACCTTCACAACGGTTCTGGTGTATTCAAAGTCACTTGCACTTAATTTACTGAGAAATATAAATTTTCTCTGCTTGTTTGCTCCTGTTAGCACAGTAGAGATAACACAGCAAAGAGCCGGTGAGCTGGAATCTAATTGTGCATCATGAGAGAATTGTTCCAGTAATCAGTTAGATTGGTGCCACATCCATTATTACCAGTAATATAGGTTCTGCAGGCCAAATCAGAAATTCACTGACATCTCTGCAACTCCATTGTCTTCAAATTATACTCAGGCCTTGACTACACACAAGGTTGTACAGCTTTAACTGTACTGGCAACAGGGCTGCCCAAGTGAAATGGAGACTGGTCTGTACACAGATTTTGTGCTGGTATAACTATTTTGGCTAGGTTTCAGAGTAGCAGCTGTGTTGGTCTGTATCCGCAAAAAGAACAGGAGTACTGGTGGCACTTTAGAGACTAACAAATTTATTAGAGCATGAGCTGTAGCCCACGAAAGCTTATGCTTTAATAAATTTGTTAGTCTCTAATGTGCCACAAGTACTCCTGTTCTTATTTTGGCTAGGAGTATGATATTTTGGGGGCTGAAATAGCTATACTGGTTATAATAGCATTCCTAATGTGGACACAGTTGTTCTGGTATAAAGGTGCTTTATGCTGGTATAATTTATGCCCCTTTTCATAAGGGAATAAGCAAAACACTTTTATACTGGTATAACTCTGCCCACACTAGGGGGAGTTGTACCACTTTATACCAGTAGAGCTGTACAACTTTTGTGTGTAGGCAGGCAAAACAGTAGAGTTGTGGAGATATCAGTAAATGCCTGATTTGGCCTATCTATTACTGGTAATAATTATGAGAAAGATAATCTAATTTCACTGCTAATTCCCACCCAGGTTAAGTCTGCAAGGCTGCTAGTTAGGAAAAAAAAACTATTTATAAACTGAGTAAATTTGATAGGGAGCCAATTAGAGACAATAAACATGGCCATTTTTATAGAGTCACATTTCAGAGAAAAGCCCACTCTTTAAATAAACCGACTTTGTGGTCATTATATAGCACAGGTCTTAGTTTAAGGAGTCTAGTAATGTATTATTTTTGACCTCTTAAACACTATTTTATTGATGTCACTATTGTTCACTCTTACTAAACTTCCAGAATGCTACTGCAGCCTACTCTTTGTTTGTGTTCCTTACTTCTGTCTCCTGCCTGATTCTGACTGTTTTCATCATATAAAAATATACACACATACTGAACAAATAGCCTACAATATTTTGCATTATATCAAAGCCATTTTGAGATCTAATAATATAACAAAGTATCAAATTTCATTAACTTTTTCAGTTTCTATATTATAGTGACTCCTATAATTTAAAAGCAGCCATATAAACTTAAGTCAAATTTGGTCAGATTTGGCAAGTAGTGTTTAAAGATATATTTAATTACATAACATTTGGGGACTGATTAATCTTCTGTCCCAAAAATTCTATTTTTTGCCCCTTTTCTGCTTAAAATTAAGAGTACACCAAAAACCATGCTCGCTACATTGACTTCATTGGGGTTGCCCAAGATGCATGTCCGCACAGTTTGGCTCTATAAAATCAATGCATCTGAGGGCAGAATTTGGCCCAACCTGTTAAGTTTTCTGATCTTCTAGATTTTTCTAAATGAGAAAAATCTATATATAAAATAAAGACGTAGCCAATGCTAATAATTAATAAAGCACACAGTTTACTATTTGTATAAATATATAAAGTTGTTCTTACCAGGATCTATGTAAACTATTCCATTACTGCTAAGGTTTAATATCTTCAGTTCATTAACATCTTCAAACTCCTTGGCTTGTAGTTGGTTGATTTTGTTGTTAGATAAATCGAGTTTAACGATATCTGGAGGTATGTTACCTGGAACTTTCTTTAACTCTTAAAAAAAAAATTAAAAGATGGATGTTTTATCATCTGTAGATTATTTCTACCGCTTGCAGGTCACTGTAAGATCAATTTGTGCCAGGATGTAAAGATGACCTGTGTTCCTTGCATTTAAAGATAGATCGGGGTGCAACTCTCAGAAGAATAAAATTTGGAAAGTACCTACTAAGCATCTGGGAAAACAGAAATACCTCATATATCTTGCATCTTTCTACTTCCTTTTCTGCTCCTTCTGTTCATCTAGCACTGACCACCCCCGATCCATTCTCAGTCTTTTCACACTGTTAATGTGAAAGTTATTTCTCATGCAGCTCCTGTTGACTGGAAGAGCCTAACATGACTGTCTATTTTACATTTCATCTGAAATAATTTCTCTTCTTTATGCTAGTCCATAGTAATATCTCTTCCTATGCTTTAAATTTTTATTTTAACTTGTATACAGCTAAATAATGCAGTTACAATGCCATACAAACTAAGGCCTTGATTGTAGTGCACTTCCTCACCTAAATTAAACCAGTGGGGCTACTTGTGTGAGTAGGTGTTCACCACTTTGAGAAAGTGTTCCAGAATCAGACCCTAGTATCCTGTATTGTACCATTTGTTCCACGCTACCAAAAGTAGATGTGTTCTAAGTATTAACAGCAGTGAAAATACTGTAGTTACTACCCTTATGTAAAGTGCTGAGGCATTTCTAGGCTTTTTATATCTATCTATGCAAAATATATGGCTCACCATTACTATGTTACCTGAGCATCTCACAATCTTTAATACATTTATCCTCATAACACCACTATGCGGTAGGGAAGTACTATTAATCTTGTTTTACAGATTGGGAACTAAGTGACAAAGAGTCCAAGTGATTTACCCAAAGGCACATAGAAAGGCTGTGTCAGAAAAGGACATTGGACTTGGATTTACCAAGTCCAGGGCTAGTGCCCTAGGCACTAGAGTGTCCTTTCTTCAATGAGCTAAATTCTGCTTAGACAGACTTCTTACTCCCTGACTTCTTTTAAGAGCTGTTGCATAGCCCACGTAATGAGCAGGTGGAATTTCAAACCCTGCTTTTGGGGTTTTTGGCTACATGGTACCCCAAAAAATTGTGGGGAGGCTGTGCAAGGAAGATCCAAAGCTATAGCTTTAACACCTAATACACTATATAGAGTGAGAAGGAAATAATGTGTCCCAAGAAAAGATTTAGCAATGTGCCTTTGAGGCATAGACAACTTGTAGTGCTAGAGGATGCACTTTTAAAATATATACCTTTGTTGGGAGGCACTTTGGATTTTTTTTTTATCAAAAGCTGGTTCTGTATATATTTTTGGGGAAAAACATTTTATTTCGGCGGACATGATGACGTTGTTTAAGAAGTAGCCACTGTGCATGCCTAGGGGCAGATCCTTAGCAGATGTAAATTGTTAGAGTTCCATTGACTTTGGAGCTCTGACAGTATAACTAGCTAAGGATCTGCTCCAGTGTCCTTACTTTTCTTAATGGTTTATCAACCCAGAGGTTCAGCTTACTTCTTATGGTTTCCCAGAGACTGTTTTTGAGTGTTTAATGGAAGAACTGTATCATATCAGACTTATTTATCTAGTTCTATTGAGATACTGTAGTATCATTATTTCTAACAACATTTTAAGATCCATATTATAGTGGGTTTTTGTAATATCTCCAAAATTTCCACTGAAATTTGATCATCTACATGGAAAAATGTTTTCTTATCATACTTTGACACTGAACCAGTTTGTGTCTGAGTTCAACAGCACTAACTTTAAAATCAGTGAGATAAAGAGAGTGAAAAACAAAAACAAAACCCTAACAGCATTGTGCATATTTATTGCAGATGTGACCTACACCCATTTCATCTGAAGTAAACCTCAGAGTCCTTTTTTATATGACTCTGTCAATCCTTCTCTGACTGCTATTTTCTGTGATCTTTGGGTGAAGTAATGATATAGCCTTTTCTCAATACCTGTGAGGGAAATTTCAACTTTAAATATGAAAATTAAGGATAAAAAGTAATATATTGCTCCCACTAGTAGCCTTGCATGGAGTCGGGGGAAATTTGGAGAGGAGGATATAACAGTTAGAAAGGGAGGGGTCTGGACTTTCTAGCTGTTTGTGTATTGCAAAAAGCACCCAAAATGTGTTGGGATGTTAAGAATGAAGTAGGCCCATTTCCATCTGGTATAGCAGGATAATGAGGTCCTTTCTCTTATTGTTTGAAAAGCTGCCTGAAGACAGTACTTTCCAGATACCAGTAATTTGTCTATGCGTGATATCACAACTCCTTCTCTTGTGAAATGACCTACACTAAAGACAGTAAGCAAGACACAACCTGGAGCCTTTATAATCTAGTAGGTCAGCATATAGAAACAAACACTCCCAATTTAGTCTGGAGACTCCTGATTTTCATGTGAAGCCACAGACAGAATTTATTTGGAGACTTGATGCATCAAAGGGTTTTGTTTTGTTTGTTGTTGTTTTTTAAAGGAAAGACTTGGGTGATACTGGCCACTTAAATACTTAGATAGCTAAGAACCTCATGATTATTTTACAATAACATAATGCAAAATCACATAGGATGACATGTTGCTGCAACCAGGAGGAATCTCAGTTTTATACTCTGAAAAGTTGACAAATCCAGTATATCACTGATTTGGTGAGTGTCTGTTTAGGAAAAAAGACCCTGACTATATACACATTTTACAAAGTCTTCATCATGCGCTTCCTCCATCATTGGCCTTAAGGCACTTTTCTAAGGGGCAGAGACCTGTCCAGGCCCTCATCTAATGTATTCATGCCTTCTTTGGGGTGTGGAGCACTCCTGGCATTGCTAGTCAGCCAACCCACCTGTTGTAAGTTGTTTGGGTTAAACCTTGTTAGGGTTTGTGCGTAACTTCGGTCTTTCATTTAGGATGAATGTAAGAAAGTGACTGAAATAATAGCAGCCCCCAAATCCAAATCATAGGCAGGTGTCTGCTACTAAAATAAAGAGAAATGCATGGCTGCCCAGAAATTTCAATGAACTGGGCAGAGGGGCTTGCTAGGTATTGCCTGACCAGAGGTATAAGTGTGTGTTTAAATAAGAGAAGCAGGAAACATTACACAGAGAAGGACACAGCTGGAGCCTAGACGAGCAATGTGTCTGAATCTGAAAGAAGCCTACAGAGGCGGCTTCTGAGTCAAGTGCTGAGTAAAGAGGCTTGGAACCGTCAGCAAAGAAACTGACCCTTATCGTTTAGTTCCTCCTGTGTCCAGAGAAGCAGGGCTATGTACAGTCTTTATAAATAAACAAGACTGCATTAAAGAAATACCTGACTCTATTAGCAATTTCTCATCCTAACTGGAACAACCCTGAATTTGACTAACCATTTGGGTAGAAATCCACAGAACTTTGTGGTCGCCTCTTAGAGGGTATGTGGGGGTAGCGGCTCCGTGTACTTCTGCTACATGCTTATGGGGGGCGGATATAATAACACACATTTTTAAATAGCCAAAAAAGCCCACAAAACCCCAACCAAGAGTTGACCATACTGCGAGGCTTCAGGCAGCTTGAAGGAAGAAGTCATAGTGCCATGGTGCCTGTATTCTCCTGTTCCTAAGAATTTTGAGTCCATTCAAGCAGATACTCAACTCAGATAAAATCATCTCAAATCAAATTTGCTCCCCTCTGCATGACTTATACAGAGAGGATGCTATGGCCTAAAGTATCAGCCTGGAAGTTCAGCATTCACTCTGATTTCCTCATATTTGTATATTTATACCAGGTGCCTGTCTTTGTTCAGTAGTAATGTTTACTGGAGCCATAAAGAGTAATGATGGCATAGTTAACACTCTGTGATATCTTATACTGCAAGGGCAAGTGAGAATGAATAAAAATGAGCCAGGAAGAAAGGGTAATAGGGAAAATCAAAAGGAGAAAGTAGCTTTATAGGGAAAGAGTGGGGGAGGGAGGAGGAAGAAGAGCAGGAGTGAGCACTGGGGAAAAGGAGGTGGGAGGACAGAGGATTTCTCACATGACATACAGATTGGGTACACCATGTGGTCACAGGCTGAAGCCTTTAATTTATGTGCATTTCGTGTCTCCTTATACTGACTTCTGAGCTTGTCTATCCTCCTTTTAGATGACACAGAGAGCAGCAAAGACAGAGCCTCCCTGGAATCAAGGGTAGGGGACAGGAACACAATAAAAGCAGTTATATAAATGTACAGTCACAGTAAGGCAAATGGAAGAAAATAGCACAGCAGTTTGGCAAGCATGTTGCAAGATAAAAATAGCTAACATAGTACAACGGTCACACTACAGGTTGTAATTTGCAAGAATTGGGCAAAATTCTCTCTAAGTAGACTACTTCCACATCTTTGTACTGTTTTTTGTTTTATGTTTTGTAAAGTTGAAGTATGAACTGAATGCAGTTTGCAATGGGTGTAACCAGAGAACAGTTCTCATCAGAATTTTTTTTTTTTTAGTTTTTCTTTGGTAGTTCTCTTGGGATAAAATATGGGAAATAAAAAGCATAGACAAACCTGGACTGTATGTTCGCATCTCCCAGATGGGCTATTATTTATTCTTAGGGTTCACTTATGGCTCCTAAGATGTATTTGGGGAAGGGAGGAAGCACTCTTTTGAGTAGCAGTAACTGGAAGCATTATGACTTTGAAATGCCTCCTGGGCACTAGGAGGAAGAACAGGGAGAGTACCCTTGCTACAGCTGTTCAAAAGGAACAGCTGGTACTTTCCATTATGCAGGAAAGCTGGTACACAGAGGGTGGGACGCCAATGCCTTTCCATTCAGTCGGGCCCTTTCTGGGGCCTCTGAGTGCTGCTGGAGGTTCCCTGCTGTCAAATTATGGCTACCCTTGTGCACTGGAAGAGGGGGAAGAGCTCCCTGTGCTCTTCCCTCTGTCAGTGCAGTCACTTTGAAACCACTCTAATTTTGTTTATAGATTTATTGGCATATGTAAAAGTAGCTTTACTGGAGTAAAATCAGTCAAAACTAGGCTCTGCTGCTACAATAATTAAAGTATGTGCTTAACTTTGTTACTAGGAGCACTCCTATTGATTTCAATTGGAGTATTCATGCTGATAAAATTAAATACATGCAGGAGTTTTTGCAGAATTGGGCTATAAAATGGAGGTGAAATACTGCAAGAATTCTAATTACACTCTTTTTATAATCACAAGAACAAAGAAGTTGTTAGTACTATTTAAAGGACATTAAAGCAAAAACTTTCTAGAACCGTACTGATTTTCTATAACCTACTTAACTATAGAAGAAGTATAACAGCAAAGGAGCAAGAACATTAAACTTTGTCACTGAATTAAAAATAAGTAAACAAACCTTTTCTTTTGCAATCCAATGTTTGTTTGGGAAATACATAAATATGACAGAGAGAGGAATCAAATTCTGGTTTGACAACTTCAGGCTTTGCTGCTGCTATATTTTTGGGGTCCAGTCTTTCCTCTTCACTACATAGACGTTCAGCTTTTATCTGCTTTAGCTTTTGATCTTTCAGTTCTATTGGGTGTACACACTTGGCATAATTTCCCAAATTCCTGTTTGTTGGAACCTGCAACATTGTAATAAGAGTTTCCATCTCACAGGTGCAATGCCAAGGATTATCGTAAAGACGCAGGTAGTTTAGAAGGGGCATATAAATAAAAACTTCCTCTGATAAAATCTGAATCTGGTTATGCTGAAGTAAGAGTGTGGTAAGTTTGTTTAAACCAAAAAAAGCCTCACTTTCAATTTTTGATATATCATTCTGTTGTAAATCCAGACTTTTTAGTGTTTTATACTTGGAAAACATATTATTCTTCAGTTTGCGAATCCTGTTTCTTGCTAGCAGCATGTGTCTTAAATCCTCAGGCCAATCAGGAGACGCAAAAGTCAGTTTTCTTTCTTGGCAATCTAAGTATTTCTCATGAAGATAAGTATACACATCACAGGGGAGGCCTGGGGCATAACGCTTAACAGTACTCGATGCTTTTCTTAAGCTGTTTGTCCTTCCATTATTTGCTTTGTTTCTCAAACTCCCGTTCCTTGTCTTCCTAAAGTAGGCTGCTTTACAAAATAAAAGGAGTAGTATAATCGTAGCCACTTTCATTCTGACATCCAGCTGGCCCTAATTACTTTCTGTGACAGCTGGAACAGTCACAGTATTCCTTTGAAATCTGAGTTTGGAGCTAATACTGTTCCGAATCGAGGAGGTACAGCTGGTGTATGTGGAATCCCTGTGTTGGAAGAAAAGAGGAATATTAGAAAGTGTAAAATAGACATTTTCACAGACACTGGTACTTAAAATGAACCATTACAAAACCATTACACTAGATTCACTCAGAACTTGAAAATTTCTCAGACAGGGACATTAAGGTCACTTCTTATGGTTTAATTGTTTTCATGCTCTCTATGATCCACTTTCATTCACTTTGATTAAATTTAGCAAGCTTTCAAAATACAAGGCTAGATTCTAGCTGGCTTTCGTTTAGGTGCACATACAGATTCAGGGGAAGGGCACAAGGATTCCTTTGCCCCATTTGCCCTCTGCAGAAGAATAAAGCACAGTCCCAGTCCCGGGTGTCATGGGCATGCAAGGACTCTCCCCTCCTAGCACACAAGGACTGCAAATCATCCCAGAGGAACTGGCCAGCTGGGGAGAGTGGAGAATGCCCTCATTCTTAAGGGATGGTAAAGCATGTGAACTTCCCATGTGTTCTGTGGAGGCATAATCCCTCCTAGAGTTCCCTTTGGGGTGATGCAGCTTTGTATGGTCCCTACTCAGGGCTGTGTACTGAGTATACAATGTCGTAAAATCCTGTTTTGGCAGGGACTCATTAAACCCTGAGGTTCTATCAAAATCTGCCGTTTACTCCTCTTACATGATTCCAGCTGTTTGCTGGCCAAAGAGGGCCGGATGTGACTTCCTCTGGATCCTGTTCAGTATTGTTTATGAGTCAGCTGTAGGGCAATGCATGATTCCCTTGGCCTGTGCATGGTGTCTCTGCAGGATGCAGAGTTCTTTTTGGTCTGAGAACTTTGAACAAATCCCAGTTTTCAACACATACCATTGTATAGTAGTTTTGTGTACCACCAATCCATCATTGTGGTCTCAAAGGCCTTGTCTTCACTAGGAAAAAGGAGTGTTCTTAACACAAGTTACCTAACATGAGGTAAAATTCTATTGAAGGCAGTTTGTAGTTTATACATGAGTTAGCAGGTGAAGATAAAGACTATGGGAAAGCCTGTAATGTACCTTGACCTGCTAACTCATGTTAAAACTACAAACAGTCTGGTCTTCAATAAGATTTTACCTTGTGCTAGTTAACTCGAGTGAAGAACTCTCCTTTTTTGCTAATGAGGATGCACCCAAAAAGTACAATCTTTGAAGGGTAGAATAAATCGCTGTTTCATTATCACTGACTTATTTGTAATTTTTCTTTATTTAGATCAGAAATACAAAGTTTAAAACTTAGTTTTATAATAGAAAATGAAAAAGGTTGTCTTTAAAAGTATAATTTAGTTGTTTCTTGCTAAAATAAAAAAGATTTATGTTGCTCCTGGATATAATTATTTTGTTGGCAAAGCCTCTGAATAGCTTCTCCATTTTATTTCTGCACCTGACAGCTCACTCCTCATATCAACATTCTAGTAAAACACATAAATATCTTTAACAAATGAACATTATAACTAGATCCCTGTGACATTCTTTTTATTTTTTATCATTTTTTGTGAATTTCTTGTTTTGTTTTATCCAATAAAAATTTTGTTTTATTTCTTATTACATTTACATTAATAAAAAAGTCACATACCCATATATAAATCAAAACAGTTTATAAATCACAGTTTATCTATACAACACATTTTATTAACATTACTCGTTATTCCATGCCTTGAGACACTCACCAACCCCCATGACAGCTAGCCACCCCAAAATATCCCAGACAGCTCCTTAGGGTTCCTCTCTTGAAATTTACCTAGTACTACAGCTTCTAAATAACCCAACTTCTCCATTCCCTCTCACTGACACAAACCTCATGGAACACCCCGGATCTTCCCAACCCCTATGACTTCCTTCACCAGTCCCCCCACCCCAATCCCCCTCTATATCCCCAGGATTCTCTATGGCCCCTTATATATTTCGCCTCTCCCATTGAACCGCAATCTCCCCAAGCTCCAGAAACCCCTCCCCATTATCCCTTAAATATTCCTCCTCACCCATTGTGCACCATAACCTCATCCCCCATTGGTCCCAGGGACACCTCTCCTATTCTCCTCCCCCACTGAGCCCCAACCCTCCCCTCATTAGCCTCTTCCATGAGAAAGTCAGGGTCCTGCCCCTGAGGGGTGGGAGGCCCTGGGGGGAAGCTATAGAGTAAGCCAGCCCCACATTCACACTGGAACAGCAGCTCCTATCCTGCAGGGCAGGACCTGGCTCCCCACTCCAGCTGGCCGTTGAGGTTACAGTACACTCACGTTTGGCTCCTCTGTCTTGATGGGAGAGGGGCAACTGGGCCAAATTTGAGTGAGTGGCACTGCAATTCCAAATCTGACCAACCTGCCCTCCCATTATGATGGAGGGATGGCCAGGCCAAAGCTGAGCAGCGTTGTGACCCCGTGTGCCAGGTCACAGCACCTGGAGGAGGGAGCTGGGTGCAACCCTATAGGGGAGGAGCTGCCACTGCAGGCTGAGTTTCATTTTATGTCATTTTTATGTTCATTTTTGTTTTATTTCTTTATTTTGCATTTGCAAAATACATAGGGCTCCAATTATTATTACTGCTTTTGTCCATTACATTCTGTGAAAAATAAAAGGAATTTTATTTATTAGTTTTTGGGAATCAGATGTTGTTCACTCTGACTAGGGTTGCCAGCAGTCCCATATTACAAGGTACGTCCCTAATTTAAATAGAAAGTTGCCTGTCCCATACTAAATCAGTATGGAACGCTTTTTATCCCACATTTCAACAGCGGTGAGCCAGTACTCATGGGTGCATCTTTCCACTTTCCTCCCTGGCCCTTCAGTGCTGCATGGGGAAAGCAGATGGGGCCATGCTCAAGGGCCAGGATTGGGAGGGGAGTGGAAAGATGCACCGTGAGTACTGCCCCCTTCTGGACAGGTTCCTCTGTCGACTCCAGCTCTTGAGCGCAGCCCCATCTACTTTCCCTGTGCAAGCTCCGGCAGGGCAAGTGGATGGGGATATGTGCCCTGGACCTGTACTGAAGGATCAGGAATCAGGATCAGGAAGGGGCTCTGTCTGGCAAGGTCTCTGCCAATGTCCTCAACAGGATGCACAGCACTGTAGCAGGCAAAAACCAGCAATTGCAGCCTCCAACTTGGCTCCTGGCACCCAAGCAGATCCTGAACAGGAGTCACAGCAGCTGCTGGCTCAGCACCGGAGGCCCTGGGTTCTCTGCTGCATCCAGAGCTGGAGAGAGAGAAACCCTAGGAAGCCTGGGGGTGGAGGAAAAGGGACTTGTCCCCAGAGGTTCAAGTCAAGATTGGGGACATCTGAAGTCTGTCCTGTATTTTTAAATATAATATTGGCAACCCTAACTCTGACTGATTGTTCTAATCATGGCTATTACAACTGGGATGCTCTGTATTATTTGGAACTGAGCTACACAAGCTCCAGAAGGTCTCTGATACTGGCAAATCCAAGGGAAGTCCTAAATGGACAAAAGAGGAATCTGGGAGAAGATAGCTAAGAAATGTGATTTATCTGAGTACTCTGTCTATTTCCCTTCAGTCCCCTAGGACTGAATTGGGGAAAAACAGCACAGACTCTCCCCGGGTTACGCAAGACCCGACATATGCAAATTCACACTTATGGAAAAAGTTCTGTAAGCTAGAAGTAGGAGGGTTTTTTGTTTTTGTTTTTTGCGTAACGTTCGGGTATACGTTTTTGACTTACGCAAAATTTGAGTAATGCAAAACTTTCTGAATCAGAACGATTGCGTAAGTTGGAGAGTGTCTGTAGTGGTACTAAGCTCTGCCTACATACTAAACTTCACTCTGTTATGGCACCAACATGAGATCCTATTCTCAATAGATTGTGCAGCTCTTCCTGACATGATGTTTTATCTTTCTTGGCCTGTATATCAAATGTTGACATTTTAATTGTTTTAATTAGGCTCTGGAGTTAACACTCTGTTTAGATGAAATGGAGCAGTTCACACTGCTCAGAGCTATTTTTTTCAAACTGTCTGCAGACGCAAGGAGATGTCACTGCGTCAGTTTACACTCAATTCCCATTTAAAAGGTTCTTTGCAACCATAAAGTCTAGAGATTTAATTTTTAAAATATAGGCATAGATTCTGTAGCCAATGATGGCAACTAATATGAAGTATCAGCATACCTTAATTCAGGTTCTGTTTTCCCCCGGCCATCTGTAGAGGCGAGGTGTATTGTGGTTTTAGGATTGGGATATAGGGGGGCATACAGGTGGCATGACATTCCTGTAGCTTAGCAATCATGGAGCTAATTTTAACTGGATGGAATTTTTTGAGTTGGCAGGTCCCTCTTAACAGCATTGTGTTTTATTCTTTCAAAGGGCTTTGAGTAAGATAGTATACCAAGACTTTAGTTGAAGTCATTGTTTTCCTAGAGAGGAATGTAGAGACGTAATGTTGGATTAATTTTTGACTGCAGGTAAAAGCATATGTTTGGTAGCCCCTTTTTCAGTTGTGTTATGTGAGAATTATTTAAAAGATTTTCAAAATATTTTTGTGGTCAATATAAACATCTCATATTGAATCTCCCACATCAAGTGTCTGCCTCAGGCTGAATTTATTTATTTATGTATTTTAAAAATCAGAATCAGATCAGCCATTTCTGAGAATGAGAACAAGGAAAAATACATCGTTTGCCCTTGTTGAAAAAAATCTTACAACTATTTAATTGAGAAGCTCCAGCAACTCCATGCTTTGGAGCAGGGACTTGAAATTTGGCAGGAGAGTTGTCTTTGTATCAGAGATGTGCCTTTTGCTGTTCCTGTGAAAATCAACCTGATTTTGGCCAAATTTTAAGCCTCTGAAAAAATCATAGTTCACACATTCTTAGAAGAGATTTGTTAGAGTTTGGCAGCTAAATTTTCTGAAGATTACATGCCTTAGGGAATGAGGAGGACTTTTTCTGCAGTTCCTCCTTTTGGCTGCCAGGGGCCGCTGCGGTCTGAGGATCTGAGATCAGGGAGACTATTTCCATGTGCTCTCAATGTTCCTGTGGAAAACATAGTATATAATCATGTAGTTAAATATTGCATCATAATGCATATGCACAAGAGAGCTGAATTAAGATTGGATAGGCAACCTTAATTCTGGCATTTCCTAACTTTTGAGTCCTTGACTTTATAAGCTTATCATTTTTTAACATGATATTTTAATGTAGTATGGGACATGAATCATCATGCCTCAGGACATAAGCCAGCCACTAACTGATAGGGGGCTGAAAACAACTTTTCTGATGAGTAAGTTATTCCATAAATGTCTTCTGCCTGGTTTCTTGGACTTTCCCCTGAATTATCTGGTACTGGCCATTGTCAGGGACAGGACACTGAGGTAGATGGACTGCTGGTCTGATCCAGACAATTCCAACTGTTAATCTTTAACTCTAATATTAAGTTTATTTTTTATTTTAGGTGAATGTAAAAATTTGCAAGACTTGAATGTCTCTGAATGCCAGGGATTAAATGTAAGTACTACCAATTTTTGTCACAAAATTCAAATTATATAGAGGTGGGGATGGGATTTTCAAAAAAGTGCCTAAATGAATTAGGAATACAAGTTTTGTGGGACTTATGCTCCTAATTTACTTAGGTGCATTTGAAAATGCAACTGTGGACTTCAAAAATAGTCAGATTTTAGTCAGACTAAATTAGGGTTCTAATTTTGTTTTATACAGTGCCAGAAAAAATGGTTTATCAGACATGGATTATTTTTAACAATGGCTTTTAAATCTTTATCAGTTATGGGAAAGGTTCATGGTTTACTGTGTGTTTAAAGTTGGCAAGAAATGCCAAGCCATTTTGTAGTATCCAAATATTTACTTACAACTACGCTTTCTAATAATTTACGGGATAATGCATGTGGGTATTTTTTATAATTGTTTTGCCTAAATTGACAAGATAAGTACAGTTAATATTCTTCAAAATTAAGTAATCCTGAATAGATACTCTCTCTAAGATTCTTATTCCATTATTGCATGGAGTTGGAAGTGTCCTCTTAAAGTTTCTAAACATTTCTGAAACCCTCCAGTGGAAAGGTGTGTGTATTATATAAACACTACTTAGCCTCCAGGCAATCCCTTCTTTTTCCTGTTGTCTGGAGGAGGAGCATTCCTTGTGGTTCATGGGAAATACATTTTGTCTTTTAGTTTTCCTAAATCATTTTCAAATCTAATTGGCTCCTGTTAGACATTTTCAATACCCCATTCTGAGGAAAAATACTTTCTGCATAAGATTGAGTTTGAAACAAGATTATTTTTATGCCAGTTTGTATTTTCTTATCTTGAAAACAAGGCCAATATTTTCTGTATATTGCATAGTTTATTAATACTGTATTATACAGATATTTTAGTATGTGTAGGTGAAGTTTTCTTATAGTACTTCATTTGCATTGGATAAAGTAATCTGTGGGCCACATCATCCACAGATGGTGTGAATTGGTGTAGCTCAGTTGATTTACATAGAACTATGCCTGTGTACAGCAGCTGAGGATCTGGTCTTATTTGTAAACAAGAACCGGTTAGAAGTGGTCTGATTGCAACTATAAAATGTCCTTTACTGATCATCACCAGTGGTACAAAGTCTGTCATTGAAAAGGTCCTATTCTTCTATCAATAATCTTAATTTTTAGAATTAAATATGAGCTCTTGCAATTTAACCCCTCAATTCTTAATTTTATAAGACGTTAATTTTGTATATTCTTCCAAAATTCCTCTCTGACATGATATGAGAAGTCTACCACGTGATATGAGAAGTCTCTTCCTCCTGCTTTTAAGAATATCCTGCAGAGGTCTCGTTACACTAACTGGTTGGAGCATAAAAATATCACTTAGGTTTAGTTTCCTGTGACAATGGCATATCTGATCATGCTGCATGTAAGAGAATCATACTGACACTATTATCTTTAATATGCAATTGCACATTCAGGTCCTTACCTAACCTGACATCTTGTCAGATTGAATTATCTTTCTGGTTTTGGAATATTAGACTCAGGAGAAGGGATTTTATGCAGGATTATTTACCTTTGGAAAACTAGTATGAAATGTATAATTGGTGTTCTTCAAAAGGAGCAGCCTAGTGGTAAAAACATTTTAGTTTCGTGTTTACTCACCTACCTGTTTTCTCTCAAGAGGTTTGTTTTTACTATGGTTATAAAGTTAGAGTACCTCCTGATGGCTTAGATCGAAAACATCAGATATTTTGTAACTAACAAGTAATAATTTATGAGAAATCCTGACTCCAACAAGAAGAAATTTCTGGAAACTTTGAGAAAGTACTTACTCAACATATTAGTTAGTGTGAATCTATGAGGTATAATACCTTGACAGAACAATGAAAAGTACTTCTTTTTAGGAGTTCAGGGTTTAAAATTTCTTTAGCTCTGATTTTACCTTTTTTTAAAGACATGAGTTGTAAAGATGCTTACTTTTATCTTTTTACTCTTTAATAGTTATTTTAAAAGATTTCCACTGAAAAATGAGGATCTGAGAGTGGTAAAAACCAGTGTAGTCTAATAGTTCAGATGTGCGCACACTGCTATCGTTACCTCTCAGCTGCATTAAGACATACTTTGAGATGGAAAAGCAAATATTCATTTTATTCTAGCTATTTCTTAAGTGAGCTGAATAGCAGAGATATGAATAGAATAATAAAACAATGAGATCAATGAAGAAATATTCAGCTAATTGAACTGCTTGATTACATTTGATAACATTCCTAGCCCTCTAATACTGAACTGGGTGGTTGTCTCCAGTGGTGGAACAGTCTCTGGCTAGACTGTTGTTGTTACTATTTTTCAAATTATATGGTGTAATCATGTATTTTAAAAGCACGTGATAAGTTTTACAGACTTCTCTCAGTTTCACTGCTGTTGGATTTAAATGTAAATTAATATCAATATTTTGATAACCTGGTGTCTGCAATAGTTATAAAACACCTTTTAACCCTACCAGGAGACTCTCATGACGATGTAAGAACTAATGATGTGAGTGAGCATGTCCATTGCATTTGACTAAGGAAATGGACATTTGTAAACAAAAATGGTCAGCTCCTCAGCAGGTGTGAATTGGTATAGCTCCTTTGAAGTTAGTTGAGTTATGCCAATTTACACCTGGTGGGGATCTGGGCAAAAATATAAGATACTGATTTCCACACAGTTATTTGATTTGCATACAAAAGTGCGGGTTTTTGCATCTCGAATGGATTTACATATACTTTTTCGGGAACAGCCCCTTGCACCAATGTTTCAAGATTTGCCTCCATATGTCTATTCTAATGTAGTTATCATATAGATACATAGAACAAGATAGATAGTGCCACTGTCAAAGAATATTAAAGAAAGGAACTGACTCAAATTAAAAAGAAATTTTGTGGACAGTGAGCATTCTATAATTGATGGACTGGTATGACTAATTAATAAAGCAAACTCTGTGGATTTTAGAGAGTTGTCTTAAATTATAGTCTATAGATCTGCTAATTTAGGTCTTAATTCAGCAAAGAACTTAAGCATGTGAATAGTCCCATTGACTTCATTAGGACTACTTGATTCTTAGTGCCTTCCTGAAGTGGGGGCATAGAAATAGTCATGTTTACAATCAACAAAAATAGTTCCGTAAACATTATAATATAATATTTTCTTTAGAGCATTTTAAGAGAAAATGTTTTTGATCAATACTTTTGTGTTTAATACTTTTACGAAATTAATTCAGTTTTTCTGCTATAGTATAGAGGAGACTTTAGGTACACTAAAATACAAACAAATTCTAATTTGACATACTTTGACAAGTGATTTTTTTATTATTATTCAGGATGAATCAATGAGACTTATATCAGAAGGTTGTCCAGCTCTTCTCTATTTAAATCTGTCATACACAGATATTACTAATGGAACACTAAAACTGTTATCAAGGTAAAAATATCTCCTCCTACATTTAGATTAGTAAGGAACAGAAGTCATATGTGCTCTACGAAAATATGAGTTTTAGTTATCATTGCAAGAAAATATAACTTTCTCTGAGTATTTTACAGGATTCCTTTTATTTTGTAAAGAACTGAAAAAAGCAATATATATTGTTCTTAAGATTTTTCTCCTTTGTTTGTCTTTTAGTGTTGTAAAAAATGTATACTGGGTTAGTTTATAGGTCTTGCTAAGTTTACAGAAACTTGTGAGTTTGCTAGTCAAACAAAGTTCCTTTGGACAAGCAGCACAGTTGCTCATTGTTGTGCAACTAACTTGCAAGTTTGCGATGATTATGTAGATCTAGGATGACCACACATCCTGCTTTTAAAGGGACAGTCCCGTATTTAAGCCCTCCCACAGGTGTCTCGACGTTTTCTTAAAAACAGGCGAATTGTCCCATATTTGCTGTCTCCCCTGCATCAGTACTGGCAGGTCTTGCTGCTGACTGGATCCCTGCTCTCCAGCCACCTGCCCACCAGCAGTGAGTGTGGGTCCAGTGGCTGACAGTGGGGGTGGGTATGCAAGGCTAGTGACAGGGTGAAGATGCAGCATGTGGAGCCAGCCATTCCCCCTGCTGGTGCTGAGTGCAGCTCCCGCTGTGTGCTGGCTGTGTGCCAGCAGGGCCCCACCCCCCTGATCCCGTTTCCAGCCAGCACTGTCTGCATGTTGTGAGCTGTGAAGACCGGTGTATATGGGCAGCGGCTGGTTACGTTGCCTCTGCTCCCCACCCATTGGTTCTTTACGTGCTCCCCCTCTCACTGTCCTCTCCCTGCTTTGCCCCTTCACTCCATCGCCCCAGCCCTACTGCTCCTCTGTATCTCCCCCGGCAGGGCGCGTCCCACTCCCAGCGCTGTGCAGAGAACCAGCCCCTGGTCGGAGTGCTCAGCTCACCAACAGCCTGGCTGGCAGTCTCCTTCCTTCCCCCACTGCCTGTGGCTGGGCCAGTGCCCTGGGAAAGGCCAAGACCCTTCGGCCTGGGGCACTGGCCAGGAGGAGCTAAGCCCTGCATGTGCCAAAGCCCCATGCAGCGCTGGCATGGGGAAGCCTCTCTGCCTGTCAGTTAAGCTCTGGGGTGGCAGCAGAGGGGAGCGATTTCCAGCTGGTTTGTATCCCGACCCTGCAGGCTCCACAGCAGCCTCCCGGGCAGGGGCTTAGCACCCTCTTCACCCACCCTCCCCCACCTGGGTCCTGCCCCCAGGGAGCGCAGGGCTGCTCCATCCTGTAGGCACCCTCCCCTGCTGAGCCACATTTCTGGCCAGGTTTGCTGAAGCCCCTGCAGTCAGGTTCCCTGGGCACAATGCACGCTTAGAACTTAACCCCTTCCTGCCCGCACTGTAGCCGGGAGACAGGAGACAGCTGGGTTATGTCAGTGGCCAGGAACAGCCTGGAGGTGTTAGCTGTCTTTTGACACTGTGTGGGCAGGAAGGGACAAGCTTCTTCCAGCCACTGGGGAGTAGGGGAGAAGAGATGAGCTCTGCAAAGACATGGGCCAGGTCATCCCTCTTCCACCACCTCCTCTGTGATTGGAAGCAGCTCCCGTCCCTTCCCTCCTGCACAGCGCCAAAAGGCTGCTGCTAGCCACATTCTGGTGTGAACCCTGACAGGAATCTGGGGAGGGGGGCATGTGACCCTGCGTGCCTCCCCATGTATTGCCTCAGGAAGTTGCAGCGCCAGGTACCAGGAGAGGCAGGTCCATCTCAGGGGCCCAGCTAGGCAAGGAGGGCAGAGAGCACCAGGCAGGAACGCTCGGCTCGGTCGGTCACACCCCCTGTGTGAGAGAGGTGTACGCGAGTGTGTGTGTGTGTGTCACCCCTCCCTATGTGAACACTAAAACCTTAAAGATAAGAAGGTAAATAAAAAGAATTCAGCCACACAGTATTTATTTTTAAGAGGGGCTCAGTCAACTTGATGTTAATTTTAACATTTGTACTGCATCGTTCTAATGGATTGCCATTGAACTTGCTTGAATATGAGTAATTTTACCATGTGTCCCGTATTCAGCATAGGGAAATATGGTCACCCTCTGTAGATCACTAATCAGAAAAGCAGCAACTTTCTGGTTTATAAAGTACAGTAAGCCTTTGCTTTCTTTGGCTGGAGAGGAAAACTCACAAAACTGAATGTGCAGTTTTGAGCTAAAGCATAAGCCCTGATTTGTGCTTTGCAGTCTAGTAACTGGTAAAGTTGCCGACAGTGTATGAAAGAGGAATTTGTCAGTACACCGTGTGGAGTCGGTTTTTTCACCCATCTCAATGGCTTAGTGGTGATGCACTGCAATGGCAAGTAGAAGAATAAAGTTTAAGCTTTCATCTTGGGCTGTCACCTCCCAGGCCAAATGTGAATGCATTAGATGCACACCTCCTGACAAAAGGCATTCAGCCCTTCGTGTAGCATATCACCAGCCACTTTGGATGATTATGTTGTTGACAGGTTCTGAAAGCAGCCTTGTCACTTCAGCAGGAAGGTTAATGACTGTGGTGTAAGGTCTTGGGTATCAGTGGCTTTAAAAGGGGGTGATTATCTGCTCTGAATATGTATGACAGACTCCTGGAGAAAAGAAGGAACTATAAGTGAATTTATTATACTGACTACCATTTTCTTTATAATTATCTATTCACCGAGGAGAGATTTTTTTTTTTTTTGGTACAGATTTTTTGGGGGTAAAGTTTCCGATACCTCAGTAGCATTGTAGTCTAGTGTTGATAGTTATAATTAGGCAGAGGACTAATATTTAGTTTAGATGTGTTCTGTATGTATATAGGGTGACCAGACAGCAAATATGAAAAATTGGGATGGGAGTGGGGGGTAATAGGAGCCTATATAAGAAAAAGAGCCCAAAATTGGGACTGTCCCTATAAAATCAGGACATCTGGTCACCCTACATGCATATCTATTGAATGAGATGTATTCAGAATTGCTTGGATAGTGGTTTAAAAAGTAGATACACAGTCAAGCAATGTTGTGATTATTTGTCCTGCCTACTCTACCAAGTTCCTGTTTTGTCCTATATTTCCTCAAAACAGTCAGTAAGGCATGGTTTTGCTTGAAGCTATCCATTTTGACTTTCTTTATGGCATAGTAGTGGGTTTAAAGAAGTTCAGAGGGAGGGGTTTTTTCAGTTTTTGACTTGAATCCAGCAAAGTTTGCAAATTCCCATTGATCTCTTGAGCATACTCTGGGTCTCGTTAGTCTATAACAGTCATGCAGACACATGTAGAAATAAGGCACTTTGTCTGACAATATGCAAAAAACCACAGAGAATTGTGTATTTAAAGTAGCCATATTTCCTGAACCAAATATTTCTTGGAGAACTACCAAAAAAAAAAAAAAGAGCTGCCCAAAGGATGGTTTGAAAGCAAATGCAAAGAATTCATACTATCCAGGTGAACTGTGTTGTAATAGTTCTAGATGAACATCCATTCCTGTTGTGGGAGATGTGTGTTCATCCACCAAACTGGAGGGCTGGAGGACCTACTGTTGGGTAGGTCCAGTCCACTTATCAAAAGAAGCAGTAAAAGAAAGCTGAGTTATTCCAACAGAGCTGTCTCCTTCTTTGATGGTAGTTGTACACTACTTTTCTCCCCCTTGAGAAAACAAAATTTGACTTTTCACAGCAGTGCCACATATTCCTGGAGTCTGTTTTTCTCTGTTGTTCGCATAGTATATGTTGGACATTTGGATTTGCCCTGCAGTAGAGTGATATCTTGGGAATGTACCCGTCCAGTGCCAGATTCTAGTCTTGCTTCAGGTAGTCTTCCATCCTGCATCCCTGCACCAGTGTTATTCTTTCTATCATTTATGGAAAAGCGTGTGTTTTTTTCTCCATATTGGCATAATTTTTGCCTTCTTTTAGTTTCAATTTCTTCATGTTTAAATTTGGAATGGTTTTTCTGGAGTGCCTGCCAGCCTACGTTATCCTGGCTACCCTGGTTTCCTGTTGCCACCAAAAAATTAGAGCCAACTGCTTCTGTTAATGTGTGGGCAAGACCTACACAGGAATGGGTCAGCCAAATTGGTGGATGTCTCCAATATGAGAAACAAAATTTACAAATAAGGTAAAATTTCCTCTTTGTTCGAGTCAATAAAATACTAGAGTTTCATTAATGGCTTTCTCTTGCCTTGCTTACAGTGTTTTTTCCAAAAATGTTTGAAAAATGTCAGTAGCAAATGATCATTCTGAATGAAACTACTAAATGCAACACTTTTTTGCTGAAGACATGTGGACGTAAAGCATACTATAGTTCTTTCTGAGATTAACAGCATGAGGCTTTTGATAGCACTCAAATTTCAGCAGTGTTTCTAGGGATGCTCAAAAAGTGGCAGCTCACAACAGATACTTTCTTTGTAGTTCTCTGAGACAATGTAGCTAACATAAGCGCTGTTAGCGATGGAAATATATGCATCTTGCAGTGCTTCCCATACATCTTACTGCTCCATATCAAGGATCCATTATTGGAAAAAACATCAAAAGGGACTGTATTCTTGATGAGCTGGAAGCTGGTTGGCCATTTCACATGTTCCTCTTTCACTCTATCAAGAGAATTCAGCCTCTGAGTTACACAGCTGATTTAAGATGTTGTGACAAGATGGAATTCCACTTGGTATTTCTCCTTCGATGAAGTTATTTACAGACCTTGCAATATACATGAAGCCTGTCTATCAAGAATAACTATGGAGGATTATTCTGGCAAATTGTTTTAAAACATCACTGTGTTAAGTTCTTGATGCCAAATGATAGACTCAAAGTCACAAAAGCCAAGATTTTAGGATCCATGTCAGATTCAGCCATAAAATAGGATCCAGCACACAGGCAACTGTAAATCCCTGCTATAAGTTAAAGATCTGTGATTTAGTTTTGTGCTGTTAAGAAAGTTGTCACCTTGAAAATGTCAGAAGAGAGCAGGAAACACACAGATCATAAAAATAGAGGGCAGAGAAAGCGTTACCTAGCAATCTGTAAAGAAAGTTAGGGTGCCTACAAGAAGTGTTGAGCTGCTACCTGCTCGTTGAAGACATTGATTCCCAGTCTTCAAAATACAATGGAGCGGAAGCTTTCTCTGTGCCTGTCTGAGCTCATTCTGCCTTAGGCAACCAACGCTATAGATGGATCAAAACAAAACTGTCAGAAAACTTCAAAAACATTCTCTTCTTGCAGTGTGTTTCATAAAGACTATGCCTAGGAGTGTATCCTCTGAAAAGCTGATCAACAATGTTGAGCATATCTAATCTACTTGCTGATGCAGATTACTCCAATATAATGCAGAAAGGCTTGTGCTTCTAGAAAGTAACTTGGCAATGCTTACATTTCTTTATTAAATATAGAAAGAAATATCTTCCATTTAAAAAGATCTCTGAATTTATTTCTGTTGTCTCTTTTTGATTGTTTTATTTGCCTTTTTTCTTAATATGAAATTTAATTTTAGCATGTATTTAATGTTTTTGAACAATTACATTATCATTTTTCCTGTTGCTTTCCAACTTCCTATCCCCCTTTTTTCTGCCCAGTTTGATTTAACAGTATGTTTTCTCAATAGACATTCAAAGCATAAAGTGAATTCCCACAACAATGCTGTGAACCACTCCTTAAGTAATCACTTCCAGAGTGGGTATTCCTGCCTCCCTTCAAAATGCCTAGTTTTTGCTGATTTGCCAAACTGGCCTGAGTATATCCCTAAATCTAAATCTCTTACAGAGCAGTATGCCCTAATCCTAATTATATGTTTTGTTTTTTTCTGTAAGCTTTCACTTCTGGTAATTATGGTATTGCAATACTTATTTATTTCCGTTAGAAATTTAGTTCACTATAATTTAGAGTCTTTGATATATTATATGCCTAAGTTTGCATAATAAAAACTTGAATAGATTTAGAGAGTACAAATTCATACAATACACTTTAAATTTTCCATGTACATAGTTTGCCACTGTTCCTTTATCTAATATTTGGTGTAAATAATCAAGTATTTTCAAAAAATAACTGATTTAAACTTCATTTAGAGAAGATTGAATTCTATGATATGCATTAGTTTTGTATCTCTTTCCACTTTAAATTTGTTTTAATAGCATGTTTTAAAAATGTGACTAGAAACAATTACATGACCACAGAAGGTTTAACAGTATGTTTAATCCCTATATGCTTTTAATATTCTTTGATAGAGTTCTGGTTTTCATTTCCAAGAGAGACAGCTTGTAAAATCAATGGCAAAGTAAATCCTGTAACCTTGCCCTCAAAGGTCTCTTGGCTTCCAAAATATACACATTCTGTCCCAACTTATTACAAAAATGTGTGCTTTTGCAATTAAGTAAATTATCCATAAATTAATATTTATTTGAATATAGTTAAGGATGACATGATATACTGTACTATAGTACTATTTCCAAACAAGTTACAATACTTGAAACAAGGAAATGAAATTCTTTTAAATTTCAACAAGGAGAGAATCTCAGTTAAAATCTAGCATCCCTTCTTCACAGAATTTTTAGAAAGATGTTAGCTATGGAATCTGATTGTATCTGTGTTCTGTAGCCTATTGTTGTAGTAACTGTTTTTTCTCCCTCTTTTGTAAAGGAGCTTCTCCAATTTACAATATCTGAGTTTAGCTTACTGCAGAAAATTCACAGACAAAGGTTTACAGTACCTGGGATCTGGGAAAGGATGTCACAAGCTCATCTATTTAGACCTTTCAGGTTGCATTCAGGTTTGTATTTCACTTCTCTTTCATGCTGTGAGGAAAGGAATCCTTTCGATGACTGGCTGCATCCAGCACGCATGGTATACTAAAGTAGTACAAGCTCTGCAGCAAACTTTTCAGAGGTTTTAAATTACATGACCACAGCTGCTTACATTTTTACTGAGGACTAGCAATATAGGCTTTGGCTCATGTCCAGCATAGTGTCATGTCTATAAACAAAAAGTACTGAATTGCATAATGAAAACAAGCATTGTTTTTTGCAGACTTAAAATAGACTAATTTGTGTTGTGTTACTATGTATACAATGTGAAATTGAAAATCCAGAGCCTTGAAAATACAGTTTATACCAAGATATCAACAAACAAAAATCTTTATGGGAGAGCTTGCACAGAATTTCCTGAAAAGGAAATCAATCTACCAGTGAGCTTTCTAATACTGTTACAAAGTAAGTTTCAAATGAAAATTAAAATAATGTGTAATTCTGCAATCTAAAAATGGCTAATAACTTGGAGAGTTTATTTTATTTTCCTACTAAAATTTTTAGTACCAAGTGCTGAGTATTTCGAACACTTTCAAATTTATGCTATATCCTGATGTATCTTTTCTTAAAGCATGGTAAAATGCTAGATGATGGAGCAGTAATATACCACCAATATTTTAACAAAGGGCCTTCACATAAATTCTCCCCTATATGATGTGGTTGCCTACTCTTTCCTTCATGGCTCGATATTTTAATAGAACCATCCTATCTATCCATCTGGGTACTTAAATTGCCGTCATCACTGTAGCGTCTAAGAAATAATGTGCTTGTGAATCAGGAGATTATTGTCCCCATTTTACAAATGGAGAACTGAGGGACAGAAAGTAACTTGTCCAAGATTACACAGGATGCTTGTGCCAGGAATTAAACCCACATCTTCCAGTCTACTGCCATAACAGCCAGACTGTCTGTTCTCTCAGGCATAGCTTTAAGGCAAGATAGTAATATCAAAGGAATTATAGGATGGGAAAAATTAATTAAAAAGGTAGGTAATGGAGATGATATGCCTTGAAGCAGTAGGCACTATTAAAAAAAGTTAGATTTAGAAAATGTAAAATTCTTACATTGAATCAGAATTAATACCCATATCAAAATATCGCTATAGATTGTATTTATCAGATTGAAACTTTTAATGTGCCAAAGACCACAGACCCTGATCCATCAATGCATTTTAAATTTCTGTGCGCTGCTCTCGCCCTCAGGCACTGCCCCTCCCGCCCCCCAGTTCCCACTGGACGCGGTTCCCGGCCAATGGGAGTGCAGACCTGGTGCTCAGGGTGGGGGCAGTGCTCCTGGCCCCCCCTGCCTAGGAGCCGGACCTGCTGGCCACTTTGAGGGCACAGTGCAGAGCCAGGACAGGTAGGGACTAACCTACCTTAGACCCGCAGCACTGCCGAGCGGACTTTTAATGACCTGGTCGGCAGTGCTGACCGGAGCCCCCAGGGTCCATTTTCGACCAGACGTTCCAGTCAAAAACCGGATGCGTGGCAACCCTAATCAAAAGCACTATGAAAACTTGGAAAGCACTTTCTGAAGAACTAATTAACTCATTTCTTCTTGGGAATACCACAACTAGGGATAATTCCAGGATTACCTTAAAAAGAATGGTGTACATTTTTTATTTCTGCACCTATATATTCCCTTCTCTGAAAGCATCTATCTACTCACCTTAACTTCATCCAAATTAATACCAAAAGTAATAATTTAACAATTCCAGATTTTATCTACTCTCAGGGTGCACATAGAAACTGTTTATTGGCTTGCCTGCACCTTCCTTAACATTTTAGGGAAAACTGTGAACTCAGTGTCTTTAGAACTGCAGGGCAGTCTAAACAACAGGTTTGAAATACATAGATTCCAAATGTGAAGGGATAAATTCCTCTTTCTCACAACTTTTATCTGATTATGGGATAAAAGATGGAGCAGAAGTTTACTTTTAGGGACAGTTGAATTGAATCTGTGGACTGCGTTTTGGTATACTTTGTAATTACGAACTGTGGTGATGTTGGTGAATCCCTGAAAGTGGAGTCCTGGAGAGGGATAGGAGGAGGAGGAAGACCTGCTTTTCTCTCCCTCCCCTAGGGTAGCTGGAAAGTCATATTACTATGAGGATTTGGTTTTGTTTTGCTTAAGAAAACAGGAGTGCTAACCACCTTCCCTATGTGAGCATGTATGAGTATGGAGAGTTCTCTCTTTCTTCTCCTCATTTGGAGGCATAAATAGGCCTTCTCATTTGCAGTGTAAAATGAGCCTCCTGAGGTTAGTGTGAGGTGCTCCTGCTATACGTGGCATCAGCCCAAATGTGTATTATGTTTAACCTGAGATGAGATCTTTTTGATACAGACCTAAATGAAGACATAACAGATTAGACATATTGGAGATTGTGGTTTGTTATTAGGAGAAACTGCAAGTGGGTTGCTGTTACACTATAAGAAAATTTGGTGAGGGGATAGTAGAATTCTATAGAAAACCTGCTCTCTTAGAAAAAACGTGAAGGTTGTGGCTGTAGACCTCAGATATTCCAGGATTATGAATTGAGGAAGGGGGCTTGGATATTTTGCTAAATAGTTAATTACGGAATACTGCTTGCTTTTCTCTAGGCAAGAATAAAATGTATTTTTTTAATGATACTGATGAATTAGAGACTCTTTATTTGATCCATTCACATAGTCACTTCTTAACTCTGGAATCCATGAAACCTGGAAAGATTTATGGAGGCCTTCATCTTTCTGAGGTGGATTAATTGAGTTCCTTGCAGTTTACTAGCTGAGTGTCTGCATGAGACCTTAAAAACTAAGGTCCTGTCTCCTGTATATGGATCTTAAAGATTTCATGGTATTTTTAATAAAAGCTTAGGGATTTTGTTGTTGTGTCCTGATTAATACTTGTCCTTCCATCCCATTGTTCTGTGTTTCCACTGACTCCCACTCCAGAGGTTCCTGTATGTATATAGTTGATAAATTGCTTTGGGATAAGAGGCTTTACATAAATATAAAATATAATTGATGTTCTTTAGAGAAAAATCTTGTCACTCAATTAAATAATAAAAGGAATGAAGTATACAAATCAATTATTCCATAGAATAAGCTTTCTTTCATTTTCAAAGTTCAAAAAGACACAGTTGGGAAAGAAGCCAGAATAATATCTGCAAGTAAGGCAAATAATAGAACAGATCATCACTAATTAATGAACTGACATTCCCAGCCAAACTTTGTTAATGGTATATGTTGCTATATTAACAAAGATAACAGTCTGTTGCTTTCTCCTTATATCAGCTAATGTCCACCAAGCAAATTAAGGGAAGCGTGGAGTAAAGAGTAAGACTGCCTTGCTAACAGCAAACTGTGGAACAAGTTGTGCAGAACACCAATAGATCTACCACTGACCTAAAAGTTAAACTCATTCATTACAAAATGGCATGTACCGCATACTGGATACCTGTTAGCTTAAAAAAGCAGCAGTACTGTAAATGAAAAAAAAATAGAGAAGAGAATGGAAATCTGTTGTACAAGATATGGAAATATCCTACAGCAAATTATTTTTGGGAGGGAATAATAAGTGGAATATGTATTGTTTCTCAATAGCTATCCAAAATAACACAAAAATCTTCGTCAGAGGATCTTTACACTTTCATAAAAATCACAGAGCAAATTCTTGCTACAATACAGAACATTTGTTGCTTAAGAAAAGGGAGAGCTAACAGAAAGCATACTCAATGGCTGCTAGCCTATAAAACATTTTGGGGCCTCTTGGCTATGCAGTTGTGGATTATACACCCATTCCTTAGGGATACATGCCCTTGGCAGTGTATTGTTTTGCTGTTTTAGGCACTGTGTGACTGCCCAAAACTACTCCTGTCCCACAAGCAAAATTACAGATTCCATACAGGCCAGTTGTCATATATAAAGTCATGGAAAAAGATGTCAGAAAACTCACTGAGTCTCAGGGCAATACTGGATGCATTTCTTTTCTGGCTGACTGATGATCAGTCACCCTGGGATAGTTTTGGCATAGTCCAAAGACTTCCATGTGGCTGACAGCTGTATTTTGGAGCTTAGAAAGCAAGAAATGAGGAGTCCATGAAGCTAAAGATTTCTTCTCCCTGCTGCTCCCACAAACCAATCAGTGGTTTTTTGGTAGGAAGATTTTTCATTATCAGGCTCAGTATTGCAGAAATGGCAATGTACAAAAGATCTGAAAGTCATTAATTATCATATTAGATTGATTTAGCTAGCCAACTCAGAAAAAATATTTTCAGTTAAATAAGAGGCAAGAAGATTTTCAAGAAATTGCCAAGATCTGGTCAGCATGTGGGGAAAAGAAGGTGGCATGTCAAGGAATAACTCATTGATTCTCAAACTGCAACTACCTTATCCATAGTGAAAGTTAGAACAGCCTAGGGGTTATTTTAACTTACAGTGGTTGGCTGTAGTTCCTAAGAGATCATATGCCATCTGAGAATTAGTCAACATCATCCTTTCCTTCCCCAGCATGCTGTGCTGCACACTAAGGTGGGGGTGAGCATGTTGGCTTAAGAGTTGGCTGCACAAGTTCCCCCTCTACTACTCCCACCATTTCCACAAGGGAATTCTCAGCATGGCAGCTGCAGCTAAGAAATGCAGTATTAAGTTCCAGTTACAGGCTCTTGAAGAATCTCCAACATAAGGGGGTCTATTAAAGACATTGGAATTCAAAATAAATTGACTATGCAATTGTTCTGTGACTCTTTATACAACATTTCCCACACATAGTGGTCTGTCTCTAAAGAGTGACCACCAGATTTTGGTTCTTCTGTAATAAAAGGTACCTTTTCACTACATAGTTGGCAGATACTCTCCAAAAATAAGATTAATCTGACATACTTATTTATGAAAATAAGGCAAAAGGAGTATATATTATAATATTGCAGCAGGCCCTAAACATGGACTAACTAAATTATTCTAATCTCCTTTTAAAGCCCGTTTCACAGCTGAATTTCCTCAGCTTTGTGCCTTAG